AGCTCTTCACAAGCTGCTGAGAAACGAGGTAAAAGCGGTCTAACTCCATACCAAGTGCCAGCACCAATTTGTCCTGGAAACAGATCGCGGGAGAAGGGGGACTGACTTACTAATACGGCGAAACAGAATTCAAAATTAGCCGCGAACGGCCCCTTGTAACTGCAAGCCTGCAATCGATGTTAATGAAACAAGGTGATATTTATAGCCCCCCATAACGATGGCCCAGTGATCCAAGCAAATGAAAGACTGAAAAAGATGCCTGAAATGATCGCTTGAGGTCGGCAACAAGCTGAATGGCTAGCCGTTGTTTCAATCGCTCCAACTGTTCAGCCACACTTTTTATGTGCTCCACCTCCATGTACGGGCCAAAAAGCTGCAGAACATTTAAAACGGCCGGCAATTGCGACGCAATATCACCGTAGCGATGCTGATCGATCCAGGACCCTTGAAAAAAAGAAAATGCGGAAGTGGAGTAGCGAAAAAGAATTCTGTAAAGCATACATACGCCAAAGCATTATGCGTGTTCTGCCTTTAAGAAAATGGATTAATTGCTTGTCAGCGAATCTGGTGTCTGTTTCGTTTCTCGTTCAACAACTGATCTTCTTCTCTCGTTATTTTGAGATATCGCTAGCGTATTTTTGTGCGTGTGTTGGCCAATACCATCTCGTTTCTTTCAAAACTGCCACTCTCAGACCACGATCTCATCGGCTAGAAGGCTTCACGCAAAAAGAAACAAAAAATAATGCAAACAGTACCAAGTGAATAAACGCCGGTTAGGAGAATCTGGAGATGATGAAGTGTCTTGATGGATGCAATCAGATTTCGTTTTGCAACATCCAACTGCTTGATATCGCGTGTCATCTCCTGTACGACACTCTCCGAGGATTGTGTTTTCAAGCAAATTGCTCGAACGCGCTCCTCCAACTCCTCCATTGACGAATGAGCCTGAACAAATACAGATTAACTTTTTTGCGCTAAAAAAAAAGAGGTCAAAATTGCAAAACTACTACTGCAGAAGTTTTTAAGGAAGCAAGTAGAAAAGCCTGCGCGATAACCTCCAGTCGGCAAAGGCAGCGAGTGACTTCCTTCTCGAGCTTGCTTTGAGTTGACGCCTTAACATATACCAGCATCAATTTACCATCGAAACGAATGAACAGTCGTGTCCCACTGGTGCAGTCGAACCCCCTCTAATCCAAGTATGAAAGCTGCTCTACCTGCGACTGTGTCAGCCAAAAAAAAAAAGAATGAATTTGGAAAAAAACAATGCCATGAGGAAAAATTTGCAGCTGAAAGTCTCTCAGTGATTGAAGAATTTCAAGTTATACAGCTGGCTCATCTTCAATCGGCCAGCTACCTCGCACAGAGCCTGATCTCCTTCGATGCCCGCTTCGCCATGCGTTTCGACCAGCTCGGCAAGTTGAGAATCCAAGCCAACAATCTCGTCCTCGATGGAACGCATCACCGTGTCCAGCTGCGACAACGACTGCTCCGTTGGAAATAGCCGATTGATCTGGTCGATGACGTCCACGTCTGCACGGCACAGTTCGCTGCGTCCGATACCGTCGATTGCCTGCGCAACCTGAAAATTGCCTGAAGCAGCTGCTAGGAAGCACACCCATCTTTATCTCTGCGCAAATTCTCTCCAAAATTAATAACACTACCTTGTCACTGAATGTGATCTCATCTTCGTCAACCTCCAAACCGCTGTTTTTCTTCACTTCTGCACTCCCGTCGCTAACCTCAGCCATTGCCCACAGCCAATCTCTATTCCAGGCTGTGCTAAACAAGCCAATTTAAACGAAAATCAAAAGTTCCTGCGCAAAAATAATGAATATATTTCTCGCCTGGCAGAAAGCAAAAAGCTGTTTGAGTTCCGCCCGACAATTGATGGACGCTGTGAGTGGTACCCGAACGACTGAACGGCCGCCAAACAAATGGCGTATGTACATCAAACACACTGGAAGTGCGCAACGGACTCACCCAATAACAACAGTAAAATGCAACTGGCCATGGGCGGCCATGTAATCCCAGATAATTTTTATGCGTTTTTGCATATTTATGCAAATGCAAATGCGCATACTGCCAAGGGGTTTGCTTGTCTGTGTTTGTATTTTATCAGTCGCTATCAACTTGAAAAGCAGAGAAGCTAGAAAGCTGAAACTTCTGCAGCATGTCCCCTCTCCCCCATTTTAATATTATCATTCACGTATGGTTCGGGGTCATGTACGAACGTCTTAAAAATTCGTAAATCTCTGCAAACATGAGCACACCAGTAAGCCTGGTGCGTCGCTGTCTGAAATCTGAGCAGTTTGGAGATTGATTAGTATTTCAAGGCGTTTGCTGTCAAGCAAAGTGTAGGGGCCGAGAAGAAGAGCTGGGCTGGTCGTGTGGCAGGAACGATAGTCAATGAATGAATGAAAGGGTCCACATGATTACCGCTTAATTGCATAGGTTGCACGCTCAGGCATGTCATCGATGCGTATCTGTCCACCGTGTAAACATTTGTAAGTCTACGTATGCCAGAAAAAGAAAGCAATGAACGTGAACCAAAACAGCAGTAAGTTGCGGGAATTCATTAAAAAGCTCCATTGAGTTACATGAATGGCGCTCATGCAG